AGTCGTGGAAGCTTCTTCGATAATCAAGCCATCCTTCGCTACAGGAGCGGCAACTCGTTTGTTTTTGTATTCGCCAAGTCCAAGGACTCCCAGTCCATAATAGAACACCTTTGTCAGCTCACTTCGGACCCAGGGTGATGGATCTGTGCTCGCAGCAGTCACAAGTAGACACGCTACAGCAGTGCTCTTCAAAAATCCAAGGTCGGCAAGTGCCCAAGCAGCCTTAATTCGCACACGTTGAGCACTGCCATCGTGAAAGTATTGAGCAAAGTCAAGTGCATCCACTGGTATCACACCAGCGTTCATCAACTTCAGCTTACACTCTATGACTGTGATTGTGTAGATATTCTGGTAAGAATCTAGCCACTCATCCATCCTACTATATCTGTCCAGCTCTTCCAAAATTATCGTTCGATAATCTGTACTTCCTACCTTTCCTCCAGTTTCTTCTGCGTCGTCAAGTTGAAGCACGTCATTATTGATGCCCTTCGCACCAGGAATCAAAGAGTTTGCCAATGACTTTAAAATGTTCGCAATCTTGAAACTGTCTGAGTAGGGGTTGCTTCCGTTGTCGTTGAAGCGAAGAGCGTCAATTATGAACTTTTGCGCTATTGAGGGGCAAGTAGAATCGTACATGCTTCTGATCCTTGACACTGCCTCAACAATAGCGCATTCAATCCAGTAAGCTTGCTTATCAGAAAAGTCATTTGCCTTAGGCGTTTTTGCACCTGGAAAATAAAAGAATTCATGGTAAGCTTTTTCGAGATGCTTAAGACCTATCCATTTTACATCCTTCTCTACTGCGTGCTTAGCAAGAGATTTTGCAGCCATTGCTCGAATGCCATAGAAATAACGCCTGTCCATTAATGTTCTAATCAGGAACGTAGCAACGAGTGGATGAGGAGGAGCATTGTCAAGGTATGCCATAGATTCATATTGAGCCGAGATATCGCGATCTTGTTGAAGCTGGGAAACATACATGTATGCTTCCATGCCAGTGAACTTCTTGTCGCAAATCCATTCAAAGTCGGCGTCAACACGAATCCACTCATATGATTCAGCTTCCATCTTCGCTTCTGTGATCGGATCCCAATCTCGTAGACCCCATTCTTGCATATCTTGCGGTGACTGCAGTACATCCCCTAAACAATAAATGAGAGCATCGTCATGATTTTCGAGACCATCCATAGCGGTTCCTGCATTTGCACGCTCCTTCATACGCCGGTTGCGCTTGAGACGCTTGTACTTTGTGTTATACGGGATTTCAATTCTTGATGTCTTCTCTCTGATCATAACGATATGTTCATAGGGTGTACCATCAGCCTCATGAATCCGAATTGTCAACGGTCCAGTGAATGTACTTTGTGCTTTTGATTGATTTACTCCACTATCCGACTCCTTAAAAGCCCTGTAGAAGCCATCCTTGTGCAATTTAGGTTCTGTCTCCAGGTGTGCCTGAGTTTGTGTAATTGTCATTTCCACACATAATCTCTTCTTGTTGAATTTTTGGGTGATAGTAAAGTGTGGACATCCTGAGCCATGAACCCATTGAGTGAAGAAGGAATCGGTATCCCTGTACTTGGTGATTTTCTCACAACTTTTGCGGAATCCTTCTGTCGATATTGCAGAATCGGTGCCTCCATTAGCATTTGCGTTAACAATCATCTTAGAAATGACTCTTGATATGCCAGTGCCTCCTTGAGCTTTCGCGATACGCTTGTCCAGAATAAAAAGAACAAGAGGAGCTTTTAAGTCCATGAATTCTCGAAAATCATCACATACATCCACAGTCTCACCAAGGGCGTGCAGGGACGGTCGGTCAATATCCAACTTGACAAGTCGTTCTGTATTCAGTTTTTGACGAAACATGAATTCGTTGTTTCCACAAAGATTTTTCATAAAAGTGTTTGTCATGAAATGAGAAATGCCGGCGATGAGCCATCTATCAGAACGACGGTCTGGCACAATGCCAACGCCAACGTATTGGCTAGCGATGGCGTGGACCAGTTTTCTGACAATTTCCATCTCTGGATCGATAATATCTTCCGGGAATAGAAGTCGATTACTGCAAATGGATAGAGATGCAGTGTGTTCCGTGTCATTTACCTGGTCATCAACAAATACAAATTTTGACTCTGAAAATGGGAAACTGCCCAAACTAAGTACAAAGTGATCAATGGCATGAGCCAATGGTGCACAAGTATTCCTCAATTCATCTGATCTTCTTGGTAGGCAGTAGCCATATATTGCAGTTGACTGACCTTGCCCAAGTCGTTCTTCATCTTCGCCCTCTCTATATTCTGACAAATCGACTTGTTCAAATGGACCAATGGAGAAACCTACATGTGTTGCAGCTATATCAGAAGTGCATTGAAATGATACAATCTTTTTAGAACTATCATCCAAATCAATCACTTCATCGACTTGTTCACCAGAACAGATCACTGCCATCTCAAGAAGCTTCTCTTCGTCGTTGAGGAAGACTTCATCAATATCTGTCTTCTGAGAAGCGGCATTTGTATGTCCTGATTTGTGGTTTTGGACGTTGGGCCGTCGCTTGAGTGCATCTCCAAGGGTTCTTGAACACTTGATGGAAATATCCCACGAACATCTCATCGCTGAATCATCAACACAGGGAAAGATACAGCATGCCACGCCTCGCTCTATAGAATGTTTGGTATAAACATGAGGGAATCTCACATCCCCCTCCTCAACTCCTACGAACTGTAGGCCATCTCGAATTTGTGTAGTAACGAAAGGAATCGTGACAGTCAAAGGCTTGAATCTAGATGCCTGTTCTGCAGCCGTCTTCGCGGCAAAAACAGGAAGAGGAGCTGAGCCTCCTTCAAGCGCAACTGACGAGTTGCGGGCTGCAGCAACACCACCACCACCACCACCAGCACGTTGAGTGACCGGGGTTGCTGCCTTTTCCGAGAATGGATCAATTTCTTCAATTTTCACACTATCCGGTAGCTCAATCTCTATCGTACCTTCTAGCTTGTTGTCCGAAGTCATGAACTTCACTCTGTCGCTTTGCATCTTATGCGATTCTGCATCCCATGAATAATACTCGGGAACTTCCAATTTTCTGTGAGGATCTTCGTACGAGAAAGACGCAACCCGGCCATTAACTAAAACCTCTCTCTGTGGTATAGAGCATTGTCGTGCATGTATGTGTATGGTCTGAAGTTCTTTTGTTTGTGGAAGAATTTCAATGTGGGTTTTACCCCGCAGACTCTTCGTCGAAAAATCAATTTCGAGCTCAACCTTTTGATGTACTACTATGAAGCCATAATCCGCAGGATCTTCCTTCGCAGTTGGCGCACCTTCACGGCCGTCGTGATTCAGTAATAAAGCAGGCATTTTCGAAAGTATCTTATCGGTGTCGCCACGTATCTTATGGTGAGTTCGATTGTTCTGGTTTGATTGGGACAAAGCACACTACTAATATGCGAATTATGCAACTAAGATCTTGCGCTGGCTGGTCTCCCGAAGGCGAGAGCCAGCAAGACTTGAAACCGTGCCGAACCAAACTACCTTCCGCGTATATTATCCTCGCTATGCCTTATTGCTAATACTCTCGCTGTGTTGCAGACAAGTCACGATAATGCGACGCAGAGACAAAGGGCGTCGTCGTTCGTGGGATCGCGAGAATCGAAAATCGTGGCTTGCGAGATTGTCGATTAGGTAGTTGGACTTGCACTTTTAAGAGAGGAAAAGTTGATCTGCCAAGCCAAAATCGTGGCCGTAGGAAAATTGGTAGAAAGTTACAAGCCGTAAGAGGGGTATTGGAAAGAAAGTGATCGTTATGATAATTATTAAACTCTAGGTAGTATGGAGCTATCGTGTCCCACCAATGACGAAGGTATCAAACTCTAGCTTGTGCGCGCATAAGAAATTTTGACGAAGAAAAGTTGCGACTACGTGCGCAAACAATTCTAAGAGGTGAAATACAGTGATAACGAAATCTTACGGACGTGAAAACGGCTGTCGCAGTTGTTGCGCATCGCCTTGATATTATTTATAAAGGTGTCGAGGAACGCGAGGCTGAGGGTGCTGTAGCTTTGACGCGCTAAGCGATATGCATCTGTAGAAGCGCCGCGGCTCCGCTTATTAATTGAACATCACATTTCGCACAGTGATTGTCACCTGATATATCATTTCACATCCCGTCAGTCAACCGCTTGTATTCCTTTCCAACAACCGATGGAGATATACATCTATAGTCTGGTGAACCAAGGATAAGGACCTAACAATTTCGCGGTGAATTGAACACCAGCCATCGTCGATATTTGTGTTGGTAGACGAAGATGTTGTTTTGTTCAAATGTCCTTTCAATTTGAGTCGAGTTTCCAATGACGCAGGCTGCAGCACAGTAAAATGTATTCTAGAATCATAGTGTTCAGTTCTATCCCAAGACAAATGTGAGTGTTGCAGGACCGTTTTCTCAGAACAAACGCTTCATTTAGTCAACGAATTCAAGTTGATGTGGGGAGAGATGAGAGGAAAAGGAGAGCAGGTGGTGAATACGAAAGGGGGGATGGAAACCAGAGGAGATGAGTGAATGACCCGGAAACAGAGAAGTGCCAAAGTCCCAGCATAGGTAGTCTTTGCAGGACTCTAGATATAATCACTTCTCGATGCTCGAATCCCATGAGAACAGTGAATGAGCCGATCTCATCCAAATCAAGGCGTCTGACATCGCTGGCAATCTTCAAACTATAGCAGCAGAAACGTTTTTTTGTTCATTAATCTAATCGACTTGGACACTAAGGAGAATGTTTCATATAGATATTGAGAAGGTTATTTTTTTTATCTACGAAGCTCTGGTAATGCAAACCATTGATCGACATTGCTAAAGGTGAGAAGTGACATTCTGAGAAAATTGATATTCAATAGAACAGATATCGAGCCAAGCCTCAAGTCATATTCTCAACCTTCAAATTTCGCTGCTTTCTTCCTCTTGCAATATACAACCCAGGTATCGGAATAGCTTCATTATGACGAGCGCAACTGAATACGTGCACGGTTTGTTGAATAATTGGGCTCGCACCGTCGTGCTGAACGACCCCTCACCAGACGAGGATAGTTTTGGCGCTTCCCTGGGATTTATGAGGGCAGAGTACGAAAAAGATGAAATTGCTAAGACTGGACGTGGATTTGGAAATGCGCAAAATAGGTATGCTTTCTACAGCTAATGCCAGCTGTTGATACCTATTGATACATGCGCTCTTCAAAAATCAAGGGTTACTTGTACGCTTCTAATGCGCCATAGAGATGGAGGGCGAATCTTTAGAAGGAGCTGGGCAGCCGGAATATTGCAAAATACCTCACGAGCAGCTCATAACATGTTCCGGTACAATTTGAATTGTTCACCTGGAAAAGTATCTCGCTGATCCACAAGTCAATCCTCTTTCATCTATCGAAGTGCATAAGAACCTCGAGTTCGAAATGAAGATCAGTGCTAAATTTACCTGTTAAAGGGGCGACATTGAAGATGCCGTAGCGTTTCATCACCAGGCTTCCGCCAAACAAAAGAACTTCATTCATGATAATTCGGTTTGTATTCCTGAGCTTCTGCAACTTTGCAGCTTCATCACTGATAAACCATACATCGAGGAGCTGCGGGGACTATCGGAACAGCGACAGTGGCGTCAAATTAATTTGTGAATTTTGGCCGCCAAGGGGCGAGAGCTGGGTATAACTTTACCAATGGATCGTCGAATCGGGGAAGAATTAAAGTACTGGAAAGGGTCCCTAGATTCCACCATAGTGTTTGCTAAGTGTGAATAGCAAGCTTTGGAGAAGACATTTGAGAATCGGAGCCTGGTCTTGAGAATCAAGGGATGAGCAGCAGAAAGTAAGGCCTGTCTGGCATCACGAGACAAGTCAACACAATCTTCATATCAGATTGAATGCTACCATAACAATTGTACCTATCTTAACAAAAACAATTGCATTGTCCAAGCATGACTCTTAAATTTTGAGATTTCCTGCATCGAGTTCTTTGAAACCTTGGTGTATAGAAGAAGTCATGAAAGCGAGATTCCAATCGAGGACCAATTTGTGAAGTCTCTTATCTCAATTGTCCTTCTCCAAGAATTTTGTTCTCACGGGCACAAGATATGTTTGACAGTAGTATTAGTCCCCCCTTCCCCTTTTTAGTTTGTAACGACAAGCGCCATCACGATATAGCACAATCCGGTTGTTGATTGTTCTGCTTGATTTACCTAGGACGGATTCTAAAGATATCGATGAATCTATAGAATGCCTCCTACCTCCCTACCCAATACCGAAGCATGTACGGCGCTTCGATTTTAGCGTGTGTGAATGCTAGTGGTGTGTACTACGTTGTACGTACTGTACGGATTATAAATAAATCTGTTACCCATAATGATGAAATGACGATCGATAATATAATAATTAATCTTCAAAAATTGCATTGAATTGAATTGAACAATTGAATTTTATTAAATCAAAACATCTAAAAACTCCTTAATCTTTTTGTCAAGATACCAAACAATAGGAAAAAGAATATTTTCGCGATCAATAGAAAATTTATTTTCTGCCGTACAATAACATTGTACCTTCCCTGCGCGTGTGAAGAAGTCCCCAAAGTTGAACTGGTCGCTTGCTATTGCCCGTACCGTACCAGACATTACAACTCCAGACACTAATATTTAATTGAAGTTACATTGAATTCCATTTTCAATCAAATAATATGATCTGCGACCATTACATTCTTCAATGTCTTTAAGCAGAAGAACTACAAGAAAATCTGAAGCTCTCACAAGTTCATCTGGAAACACAATCGCGATGGCTCCAGGCGTCAACCACAACCTTGGATCGTATACACACACATACTCTCAGTCCAATGTTAATGGCAGGAAACGGGCAAGAGAATCTGCTGATAGCGACGATCATCTACTATCCAAAGCGAAGAAATCAAAGCTCGCCATCGAGATACCAGCTCCAAAATTAAAATCGCTTCCACCAAGAAATCGATCAGGCGTCATCAAATCGAACGCGAATCCCGACTCTGCGAACTCCGTGCAACATCCACAAATAGCAACAACAGTAGATGTACGAACAGCACATCCACCATCCCAGAATTCACAACAACAACAACAACCACCACCACCTCCTACAAAACACCAAAATAAAGTTGCCAATGGCATCAAACACGAGCTGGATAGACTACAGGACAAACTTTTACAGGCGGACAAGGCTGATTTGAAGGATGAAAGGCGGAAGCTTCGATCGCAAGAAGGGACAAAATTCAAAAGTGAATTGTCTGCATATTTCCCAGAGTACGATGAAGTTATTGGAAACGTTCCCAAGGAAGAACGTGAGTTTTATTCATCTATGAAAATTGGTGCTTCGAACTGTAGCTGACTCTCCTTTCCAGATTTCTTAGATGTCGATACGCCTATCATCATCATCGATAGCTCCAAGCCTTCTATCAAACCTCTGCGTACCTCCAAAAAGAAGGAATCGAACAACGAATATGCGGTGAAAGAATACCCATCCTCTCTCTTCACCAATCTTCACAATACACACAAAGTAGAATTTTCCGAGTTTACTCCTATGGACTGCGATGAGGATCCTCTATCTGAGGAGCACTTTAAGACACTCCACAAACGACCAGAACGCCAAGAGAAGGCTGTGCGAAATGCAGACAAGAGCCGAGCTCAACATGAGAGAGATTCAGTCATTCGACTGATGGAAGGTCTCCAAGGGCCGGACTGGCTCAAGACTCTCGGGGTTAGTGGCATTACCGAGGGTAGGAAGAAGGAGTTTGAATCGGCACGGCACTACTTCATCAAAGGGTGCGAGTCGATCCTTGAAAAATTCCGGATCTGGAAGGATGACGAGAAGCAAAGAAAGTTGAAGAAAGAACGCGCCATAGCCGAAGCACAAGCAAGAGCTGAGGCAGAATCAGAAGAAGGCGAGGACTCGGAGGATGATCTTGAAAGTAACGGTGATCCTCCTGACCTTAGTGACATCGATGCTTCAGCAGCAAGACAACTGCACGATGAGGCAATTGCCAGTTCTACTCCTCGACCAAAGGCTAGAACAAACTCTGTGCTTGTCGGTACACCTGCCGTTGAGAGGGAATTCAAATCATTCTTCGCAAAACCATATTTGCGCGAAGCAGCACTTGGAAAGCACAGGCGTAGTGGTAGAACTGTAGCCGCCTGGGGACATCCCGTCCCTGAACTTCCAGAGGTAGCTGAATTTGACTTGCCGGAGGAATTTCTTGATGAGGAAACATTGAAGACTCATGCGAGAAAGAAGAGAAGAGACAGGAGAATTGCAAAAGATTGAATATGCAGTTCTGGGCAATTATAGGGCTTGGGAGTAAAGGAGAAATGTCAATTTGAAAGTGCTTCAGTTGACTTGGGATGTACAATATGGTGGTTTGGGTGGCTTGGGTATGCATGACCAGGGGAAATTGGTCCTGGGGAGTTATATTTGTTGACCTTTGCTAACATTACTTGTATAATTTGTACACTACTATGGAACTAATGGAAGACACGGCTGTGTTAGATGAATACTATATTATTGTCTCAGAAATTCCAGATCCTTTTCATACTTGTAATGTGCCTTTTCAATTGTGAGACTTGAGTTTGCGGGCATGATTGGCGTGATCTATTGTTTGAACTGCAGTTGATATCGCAAATCTGATACTCCTACTGCTTGATTCCTACTGATTCAACTGATAATATATCATAGAACTTAGCAAGGTGATGTGAGTTTTCAAGTGATATCTTGGATTAATATCAGCTACTCTGTACAGATGGAGATCGTGATGTAAGATGCGTGTGTATGGTTAGGGAATGAGATCGATGCGTAGAAGTTCTTTTAATCAGAGGATGGCGAGGCCCATCGTCTATGGAGTTTGGGATTTTGTGAAATGCTGAAATGATATAAGTGATTAGGGTGGATGGAACAGGATGTAGTGGGACGGTGCACATTATCGTTACTTCGAAATTTGAGGGAATGATATGTTGAACATGTTTTACATACGCATCGATGGGTAGATAGATATCTCGAGTCTTGAACGGGTATTGCAGCGTGAATGTCGGTTCTTTTTTGGTAAGTAAGAGGGAGGAAAGGAGAAGGAGAAGGAGAAGGAGAAGGAGAAGGAAACTGAAATGTATGTAAGGTTTCGTTATCATCTAGCACTGCACCCTGCTCGCAAGCTGAGCATGTTTGTTCTAGTCATTGTCATCGTGTATCAAAGGAGGTCGCGCGTCTCTTCTGCCCTGGCGGTAGTAGAGGGGATTGTAGGAGGATATTGAGACAAACCAGCCCAGAAGTAGAGAAACGACTAGTTGAGAATGAGCATGAGCTTCACATATGGTGATCTGCGTTAAGTATATAGTATTGGATGAAATATTATGAGGTCGCTATGCTAGCGGTGTACCGTTGCAGTCCACTATTATGATATTCTTACCGCCGAAGAACTCATGGATGACTCTTTGATTTAGATGATGTATATCGATTTTATGGATGCCGTAGATTGAAGATATTTGAAAGAGAGTGTTACTCAACTCCATCTACGGCGATCTGAGTAGATTTTAAATGCCACCATCACAAATTATGCACCATGGCCTCGCGGGAAAACATCTCTAGATACCTGGATTCTGATTCCAGGAGTAATGTATCGTGGCCACCTCAGTCCGCATGGCAGTAATACAGTTCAGAATGAAAGAATGAACGGTGTGACTGGCTTGAAAATCAAAGATCCTGAGTCTTAAGATGTGAGGAGGAAGGTGCAGTTTAACCAGGTGGTGTGTATCTGGAGACCTTGTCAAACTTATCATATCAAAAACACATATATTGTAGATGTTAGATGGTTGACATCAGACAGTGCAAACTGGTCTGGAGCTCTTGGCTGTTTTAACCCTTTTTCGTCTGCACATTCTGCACTCCGAGTTCTATGTGGTTCCTTGGGTATGGTTTCGGCAGTTGTTACTCTTTCTTCCACAAAGTCAGATCAGTTGTTTGAATATCTTTTTTTTTTTTTTTTTGATATTTTAGGTTAATTCTTATTGCTCTTTTGAGCTTCAACCAAGTCGGTCGTTTCGTGGAATCTTTCGTTGTGGATATATAGGCCAATGATTAAAGAGCTTGAATGGGTTTGACATAGGTAACTATCCCGACTTTCTTACACACTAGGTATTCACATACCTGGCTTTGGATATGATTTTTTTTTCTTTTGCTCGAGAAGGATGGTGATAGATGAGCTGGAATGATCTGCTTAGATTACACCAAATTGAAAACGTTTTCTTACGAAATGACGGATGTTGTTGTATGGGTGCGCAAATTTGTGAAAGAGGGTATGCAGGTGGAATTCTATGAATGTGTGGATTGAATGAACAGGTACGGATAGTTGTCTGGAGATTAAGGATTTGGGAAGGTCATATCATTCTTGAAAGTGGGACGATAGTGTAAGTCTGTAGTGAGATTATGTGTGGGAGGAATTACCTAGGTGTGCAAATTCTTTGGTCAAGAGGTACATATGTATATTTGGCGACAATCACGCTCTTTCTCACTTGGCCTATTGATGTCCTTTGTGGAGTAAGAGCAGCTACAAGCCCTCGAAGTTCCTACCACCTTATCTTAACTTGCCATATCTCGTGTCTTTTTGCCACTGCCGAGATATAATCGTCGCTCGATATCATTTACCGTGAAGATACGAAGACGTTCTGGATTGATTGCTGCACAACGGGCATCATCCCTTTCCTCTTATCCCTCCTTACATTTTACAAACAAAGTCTCTACTTGTTCCGCGGAGCTTTGCTTTTCCAGGTTTGCCTTAAAGTATTGAAATACTCACAAAATTAGAAGTTACTTGGAGTGTTCAAACCGCTGGTAGTAACAAACGCACGAGAAGGTATGGATCATTGTATAATCATAGATCTTCAAGCATTGAGAACTTTCACGTTTAACCGGCTTAAAAGTTGACATGAAAGCAGTAACTCAGCGGGTCCGACTGTGACAAATGATGATACAAATCCAATAAATATTTGGCTAAATTTATCAGGCCAACTATAGCCTCGAAAGAGAAAAAGATTGTGAAGCGAAATATAGGAGTAAACAAAAGAATCCTAGGCTTGCGTGGGCAATAGTTGGATCTTGGAGAGTTGTCATTGAGCCTCAGAAGACCACATGAAGCAAGCTACAAAGTGCAATCGAAATATCGGATGATTGGATCTCCCCTCTCAGTTCTAGGATAGTAGGATGAGTATTAACAACTTGTTATTTCTCGACCAACGAATCTGGAAGGCTAAGCCCCCAAAGACTTGATACGAATTGATGAAAGCTCGACGTCTTCCGTTGTGGCGTTGGCAAGATTAATTGTTGTGTGTTCAACTGCTGCGTAGGTACTCCCTGCCTGCTTTGTAATTTTCTTGTTTGATGCGACGGAAGGGTCGGTGATCAAACAGACGCATTGTTCCAGATTATGTAGGAAAGAATGTTATGAACTTATAAGACATACATTAGTGTTTAGCGCCATTCATTTCCATGGCAAGCGGGAAGACCAAACCAATTCCTGAGGATTTGAAACGACACGGAAAAAGATCCTGGCGATCAATCGATAGTGTAAAGAGTACAGAGTCTAATCAACCCTTTCTTTTGTTGATAAGGTTATGAAGTCGAATTTTGAGGCAATTGCTTTTCTTCACGGGAAGATGTCAACGGAGTTGTCAATGTAACCTTGAGTATGGATGGATTGTGTGCCCGAATCGATATCACAAATGGACGGCTAATGTTTTATTGATTCGCAAGCCTTCTGATATCCAGGATGTCAATGCAGATGCAGCACACACACATCGACACCATGTACGCAGATGCCGGCAAGGATCACCGGGACCGAACCTATTTAAGATGTAGAAATCTTAATTCATATACAAACTCGAGACAGAGTGGCTTTGAGAGGGGATGGATAAGCTGATAAGTTGCATAGAAAATTGCATGAATTTGGTGAACTAGGTGAGCTATTCGAATATCTTCCAAGTCCGCACCAGCTCCCTAGAAAAGTAGTAGCCAAGGAAACAAGCAAGCATGATCTATCAAACCACAACTGGAAACATTTGAACGCATTGACTTTGGAACATGGAGAAAGTTATAGACTTGAGCATTGTGAGACGAGACGAGGTCCCTGTCCTTGGTAGAAAGAGTCCGATAGACTAGCAGATTAGCAGACTCGAGAGACAACACGACTTCAATTGACTTTCTGCAACTTGAACATCGAAATAATTAAACCATGACTAATAATTACTACTCGTAGATGAAAACGAGAAAAGAGAGAGAGGGTCACACAAGCCGGGGCCTTTGTAACATCTTCGCTCCAAAAGTCCCTCGGTCCTACAAACACTTTGTCTTCTTCCTTTTTCCTTTGTAGCTCTTCCACTCTGCATTTATTTCCCTTCATTGATTTCGAACATATACTACCAAAAATACCTTCTGTTCCTGGGCATCAGCACTCCTTCACAAATCAAATATCAGCCGCTTTTGGGCGTCACAAAAGTCAACACCTTCCGCACATTTCCATGCAAACATTGGGCATTCTGACATGACGAAAACCACTCCAGACTGAACAGATAATTCATAAAGAATTATCCCAGGCGGAAGCAGGCCTTCTGTTGTTACCTTCCTTCTTCAAATACTTGTTAATTTTTAAGTTTGTTCTCCATTAATCAACTTGCTCAATCGATAAAGAACCTTGTCCGATGCGACCATCCACGGTTAATACATGCAGCTGACGGAACGCATAGTAATACGGAGTGCACCGATTATTCCGATACGATATTGATACATAACTCTACCTACCTTCCCAGCTGCTCTCAGCTTTTACACCTGTAAACTGTAGAAATGGCTCCAAATTATTTAAAGGTTTCTACGGGAAGCACAGGCTCGAAGAGTCTTGCGACACCAACCGCGCACATGGCAACAACAACTGTGAAGGTTGGTGGCATGACATGCGGAGCGTGCACATCTGCGGTGGAATCAGGATTCAACGGTGTGGATGGCATTGGAAATGTATCAGTCAGCTTGGTAATGGAGAGAGCTGTAATTATTCACGACCCAGAAAGAATACCGGCCGAGAAAATACAAGAAATCATTGAGGATCGCGGTTTCGATGCAGAAGTACTGGCTACGGATTTACCATCTCCCATGTTCGATAGAGATGAACACAACGACGATCCCACCGATAATTCTGACGATGACGAGTCAAATGATGCGCCTATAACCACAACAACGTTGGCCGTAGAGGGAATGACATGCGGAGCTTGCACTTCAGCAGTGGAGGGGGATTTGCGGATGTTCCGGGAGTGAAGACTTTCAGTATTTCATTACTGTCAGAAAGGGCAGTAGTCGAGCACGACACTACAATATTGACTGCGGAACAAATTGCAGAAATCATTGAGGATAGAGGGTTCGGAGCAACCATTGTCGAATCAAATACAGCTACCTCTCCTTCACGAACACGTAAGTCGCGCCGCGACAGTACTTCGAAGAGAGATAAGGTCGCCACAACTACTATTGCTATTGAGGGGATGACTTGCGGTGCCTGCACATCCGCTGTCGAAGGTGGATTCAAGGATCTCGAGGGTCTTGTGCAGTTCAATGTCAGTTTACTTGCAGAGCGGGCCGTAGTTATTCACGACCCCTCCAAACTATCTGCTGAGAAGATTGCCGAGATTATCGAAGATAGAGGGTTTGATGCCAAGATTATATCCACACAATTAGGCTCCAGTCAACAGTCGGCAGCTACCACATCACAGTTCAAATTATTTGGAGTAGCATCGGCTGCTGATGCGACCGCTTTGGAAACCAAACTTTTATCACTACCGGGTGTCAATTCTGTAACAATAAGTCTCGCCAAGAATCGGTTAACTATTTCTCATCAACCAAATATCGCTGGGCTGCGAGCTCTCGTCGACCTCATTGAGTCTCAGGGTTACAATGCTTTGGTCGCTGATAATGACGACAATAACGCCCAACTTGAATCTCTTGCGAAGACTAGAGAGATAACCGAATGGCGTACCGCCTTCAAGACTTCTCTAAGCTTTGCTATTCCAGTCATTTTAATCAGCATGGTATTTCCTATGCTTATCCCGTTTTTGGATTTCGGAAGTTATGTTGTCTTCTTTCCCGGATTGTATCTTGGTGATATCATTTGTTTAATTCTCACGATACCCGTTCAATTCGGCATTGGAAAGCGTTTTTATGTTTCTGCATACAAATCTATGAAGCACGGTTCACCTACGATGGATGTTTTAGTTGTTCTTGGAACATCTGCTGCTTTCTTTTTCAGTGTTGCAGCTATGATCGTTTCCGTTCTTCTTCCCCCTCACACTCGACCAAGCACTATTTTTGACACAAGCAGTATGCTTATCACTTTTATCACTCTGGGACGATTTCTTGAAAACCGAGCAAAGGGCCAGACCTCGAAAGCACTTTCTCGCCTTATGTCTTTGGCTCCGTCTATGGCAACCATTTATGCCGATCCAATTGCTGCAGAGAAAGCAGCTGAGGATTGGGATACCAAAGAATCAAAAGCCGATCATGCTCAGGAAGGAAATGCTGCAGAGGAAAAGGTCATCCCCACTGAACTTATAGAAGTTGGCGATATCGTCATTTTACGACCCGGTGATAAGATTCCTGCTGATGGAACTGTTACCCGAGGTGAGACTTACGTTGATGAAAGTATGATTACCGGCGAGGCGATGCCAGTATTAAAAAAGAAGGGAGGTTTACTCATTGGTGGTACCGTCAATGGTGCTGGTAGAGTCGACTTCCGTGTTACACGTGCTGGACGAGACACTCAATTGAGTCAAATTGTGAAGTTGGTTCAGGATGCACAAACTACACGGGCTCCAATTCAACGACTGGCTGATACCATTGCCGGCTACTTTGTTCCGTTCATTCTTTGTCTCGGGTTTCTTACATTCTCAATTTGGATGATCCTTAGCCATGTCCTTTCGCATCCGCCAAAGATCTTCGTGGATGAAAAGAGTGGTGGGAAATTCATGGTTTGTGTTAAACTTTGTATCTCGGTCATTGTTTTTGCCTGTCCATGCGCTTTAGGTCTTGCAACTCCCACTGCTGTGATGGTAGGAACCGGTGTGGGTGCAGAGAATGGAATTTTGGTCAAAGGTGGTGCTGCTCTAGAGACGGCTACTAAGATTACACAAGTTTTCCTTGACAAGACTGGCACAATTACAGAGGGTAAAATGAGCGTTGCAAAGATCAACTTGGTTTCCGCCTGGACGAACAATGAATCACGTAAGAGACTATGGTGGACAATCGTTGGCCTTTCCGAAATGGGCAGTGAACATCCTATCGGTAAAGCTATTCTCGCTGCTGCCAAGGAAGAACTTGGAGTCGGCCCTGAAGGCACTATTGATGGGAGCATTGGCGATTTCGAAGCTGCCGTTGGTAATGGTATCAGCGCTTTAGTTGAGCCTGCTGTTAGCAACGAACGTACTCGTCACAGAATCTTAGTCGGCAATGTTCGCTACCTAACAAACAATAATGTATCTGTACCCCAAGATGCCATCGAGTCTTCCGAAGAAGCAAATGTCAAAGCTGCTGGATCATCTAAAACTTCATCAGCAGGTACAACCAATATCTTTATCGCCATTGACGGATCTTATTCTGGCCACTTGTGTCTTGCGGACACCGTCAAAGATAGCGCTGTCGCAGCCATTGCCGCTCTTCATCGTATGGGTATCAAAACTGCAATTGTCACAGGTGATCAACGTCCAACCGCGCTTGCGGTTGCACGTGTCGTTGGCATACCACCTAAAAATGTTCACGCTGGAGTTACCCCTGATCAAAAGCAAGATATCATTCGCAAGTTTCAATCTCGTGGAGAATGCGTTGCAATGGTAGGAGATGGAATCAATGATTCTCCTGCTCTTGCCACAGCAGACGTTGGCATTGCTATGGCAGGTGGTACCGATGTCGCTATGGAAGCAGCAGACGTTGTTCTCATGAGACCAAATGATCTTATGGATATTCCCGCGTCTATTCAACTTGCTAGATCGATTTTCAATCGTATTAAGCTTAATTTAGCCTGGGCATGCGGCTATAACATCGTTGGCCTTCCGTTCGCCATGGGCATCTTCCTTCCTTTCGGATTACATCTACACCCAATGGCAGCAGGTGCAGCAATGGCTTTTAGTAGTGTGAGTGTAGTATGCAGTAGTTTGTTATTGAAGACTTGGAAAAGACCCAGGTGGATGGAAGATGCTTTGTTAGAAGAAAAGGGACAACTGAGAAAGAGGGGCCAAGGTTGGGGCTTCGGAGGCTGGAGTGGAAAGGTTACGGATGCTTATAGAGTTGTTGTTGGAAGGGGCAGAGGTGACCAAGGGGGTTATGTTCCTTTAAATACTCTGGAACCAGTATAGGTTAGAGTTGGATATTGAATTGACTTGAAGGGCGTTGGATTTAATTTGTTCTTGCGAGATATCCTCTTTTGGTATTGGGCGTTATTATTATGAGTTTGCCATTGAAACGTATTCGTTATGAGTTATAGGATGGTTAAAGCTTTTCACTAGCCTGTGTATTGTAAAATTCTAGTTTCTTTCTTGGTCTAGACCTAGACGTGTAGAAAATTATGAGAAAAATTCAATCAGCATAAGATAAGATCCGAAGGGCTATGATAATGTGACTATGATGGTAAAGACCGATTCCTCATTCTCCCTCACACACATACTTCATCTAGCATTTATGAATGTCCCAATGTGACCGCAATTCCAAATAAAAAAGCAAAAGTCTTCTCATTCAAGATGGTATTAAGAAGTATCCTAATCTTCACTTCTGTTCCACCATACAGAAACAAGCAACGATATCCACGTTTTCATCCTGATTAGAGTATCATCGTACTATGTAGTAGCTACCAACTACGAACATCCGAACTTTCGCATCTCGATTACCTTGATGGCATCAATCTTTTCTATGAATTGGGGGGTTTCTTTTTCGAAAGCGAGATACGTATTGATGAAATGATTGTTAGGTTTATTATGCATGTAAATATGATATCGTGTACAATGTATATTTAGTCATCCGGGTTCGGGAGGTTAGTAGTGATGGAATTGTAGTTTGAAGGCAGAGGAGTTATGGGGTGGATAGTAGGTTTACGTATTTGTTGTTGGTGAGTTTATAGCTAGGTACTCACTGCTTTTGCCTGTATTGCTGGTGCGTGTACGAGGTGAATTTATCGACTCCTTTTGGAAGTTTGACGGTGCTCGATTACGTCTCCTCGGGTTTGTTTTTGAGAAGTTTCATTGTTATGGAAATCAGGTGAGAGAACTTGAAGTTGAACTAGAAGAATTGAGTTATGGGATTTGCTAGCTAAGCTATATAAATCTTTCGACTTGTACTCGAGTATTTCCTTTCCCTTAATATATACCTCTTGTCTCTAGCTGCATTATATACTACCAATACACGATCTTGAGAAACTCATTTAGCAACGCCTGATTCTGCGTCACCAGTTTCAATTATTTACTACCTTTCTCAACATCGATATCAACATTCTCTCGACTTCCCGCTGCTTCAGGCGTAATTTCTCCACTAGCGTTACTACCCACCGCTGTTTCTGCATCAGCCTCCCCATCCCCAGTCTTGATATTCCTCTCCGAAAACATCTCATCATCCCCTTCAACACTCCACTCCCTCCATTCTCCCTTGAAGCCCCTCATCCACTCCCACCTAACTTCTCTCGCACCTTCTTTGCCTTTCACTGGTATCCCTCCTAGTCCCCCTTTGCTGAAATCTCCCTGCATCTTCGTTCGGTTCGGAACGATAAACCTCCTATCCACCCTCATAATCGCAAACAAAAAGAGCACCACAATCTCAATCCCAAAATTAAAGATATAAAAACATGCTTTACTATGATACCAAGCCGGATCATCAATGCTTCTCGGTACATATGCCGTTCCGGCTCTGAAAGCCGCCCCGAGAGTAAGTAATACCGATGTTCCCAGCACCAATCGAACCTTCGTTCTTAATTTTCCGGTCCCGAATTTTTCCACCTGGTTCCGAGGGAGAAGCAGTCGTAAGGCTAGGAGTGAAATTGGGACGAACGCGAAGATGGCGAAATATGTGCTAACGACTAGTGTTACGATCCGATCGATCCACAAAACATGTGGATCTAGTGTAAAGAAATTCTCGACAAGAACCGATATATTTGTGATCAATCCTGCGACTAAACTCACATACCCTACGCGAAAACAAGTCCGGACCGAATATTTCCATGCCCATGGATGATATGCCCTCAATAATCGACTTGTGAAAATGATATTGATGAGATATAACAATATAGTGCCTGCAGCGACGAAAACTTGGGCCGCGAGCGCGAGACGGATGTTGGAGGGGTAGGATGCCCAGATGATACGAAGAGCGCATGTGATGACGCGGGAAAAGGAAAATCCGAAGGCCATGCCGGACATGAGGAATTTTTGGCCGCGACGGAAGTTTATTTGGAGGAGAGACATGTGGATGATGGAGGAGAGGAGGAAGAGGAGCATGAAGATTGTGGTGAGGGGTGTATCGATTGGGTGCGTGGGTGTGAGGCCTATGGTGGCGGATTTTGGGGAATAAGGTGGTGACATCTTGATGGTATGTTAGTTTTGTATTTGGCTGTCAGAAGGGAGATTGTATAGAAGGGATAGGAGGAGAAGAGGAGGAGAATGACGAAGGGAGAAAGGATTGACGAGAAGGATATATAAGGGCAAGAAGAGAGTGAACTTACATTCAGAGTATTTGAGGCCATCTGGCATCTCAATTGAAAAGGAAAGAAATCTTTATCGATTCTTTCAGACCCCTTTTTTCCAAAAGATTTCTATCAGATCCTATCGTTGCGACAACACGATTGTCACATACCCTCTTACAGCAATGAACGTGAAATAAGTTTATGAGTCCAAGCTCCTATATCAAACTTCACCTTCACTCCACTGACAAACAGGATGATAATAAAAAAGCAGAGGGAAAGAAAACTTGCAGACTCTTTAATCTAATGTATTACAAGATAGAAAGAATGTCATGAAGCGGAACTGTCACATTTTATAAGATACACCAGCTCCTGGATAGGATATTGAATTTGTCTAGTAGTCTTTGGTTGCCTTGCACCTCGATACACAACATTCGATATTGTTTGTAGCCATCTTTCGTACCGTGTCAATCATCCAACCAAAAAACGAAATTCAAGACCAAAGATACATCAGTCCGCAATTATAAATCTAATTGCTATTTCCATATTCACCTCCGCTCGAGTTCCCCTACCTAAATACTGTCTTCAACTCCAGTTCAGCCTCGATCCTCGCCATATAGTTGCTGGTCACATTGTCATTTCCAACCAACAGTGAATACAACAAAAAAAACGGAATCTCGCTCTTAACGGAGACCGATTTCGTATATACTTTTATACTTCACCACTAGGCTATTTCGTCTTAATTGGCTTGTCCCTCTTCCTCACGATAGGATTTTATGTCGTCTATTTCCATTCGATTTCTTACAGCTAGAACCAGGGGTCAGGCGAGAAATAGATCCCGAGTACCGACACCTACCTCATACACACTCTCCGATGTCCCGCTCACGCCGCTGAATACTAATAAGCATCGGGGCGTTTACGTTAAGCCGCCATCTGAAAAATCAAAAATCTACGTAAAAAGCCCTGGCTGAATGAGTAAAAGCTTTAATTACTAGGTGGGATTGATTTTCGTGGGGAGGCGTTCTTGTGCGAGGGTTCAAGCATTTGCCAGCTATCTTGTATCGTCGTTTTGCATCTGCTGTGCTACATCGCTTATGTTGGGTTCCACGGACACAAATACGGAAGATATTCTCTTAGAAGTGGTAAGGTTGGGAATTGATTGAGTACACAAGGGGAATTTGAAGGCATCTTGGATACGGCTGTGATTGTATGTGGCGTGTTTAGTCCAGGACCCAGAGACAACCGAGTCTAGTTGGTGAGTATATAAGCCAGCTGAGACTACAAACTGGAGAGGTATCCGTTGCAATTTGGCCTGGATCAGTAGGTGAGGTTGGGCATTTGGTCTTGAGGTCTTGTTACTTGCTCAATCTCGCCAGTGGCAAGTAGCAGTACGTGCAACACTGACTTCCGAACAATTGGAATATACCTGTGAGTACTTGTGAGTCTGTATATCCAGAACCCGACGCGAATATACTCAACTCCACGTAACTAAGATTGGGGTTCATACCCAAAGGCCTACGAGACTGTGGGTAGCTGTTGCAGAGAGTCAAATTTGCAGACATACTTAGATTTGTCGGGTAGAAATTGGTGTGGTATTTGCAGATTGGCTATTCAACGGACTTGCAAGCGACTAGCATTCAAGGTTCTAGGTTTGTTACGAGCTGGCAACCGGCCGAACAAATTCCATTGGGAATATATGCGACGAAGAATCTAAAAAGCATTTGTTCTGCGTCTGAGTGCTTTTTCCAGTTTGGTTGAGTATGAAGATTCAATAGCCATTATAGAGAAGGGGTATAACCCTACCTAGGTGTAGAAGCTGAAGTGTGTTGTGCGACTTTGGGTTGGCCGGAATCCCTTGCTTCTTTGTGACCGACGTTGTATGTGCAGTGCAGCAAAGGAGGCTTGGAGGGAATCTCGTGGCAGTTTTGGCTGATGGCAGAATAAAGGCGGTGTGCGTCGCCGTTTTGACTTATGACGTTTTTAGCCTGTATCCTTGCACTATTTTATGCACCCAGGCGCTCCAAGCACAAGCCAAAATGCGACAAGCTCCATCTACTACTTGCAGGACATGACTTCCAAACATCCATACATGCGATTTTTATTGATATGATTATAAGTTTGAGTATAACTTCACTCCTGTCGAAACCTCAGTAGATCTAGAATTCCGATCAAAATGGCAAGTCCGGCTGGAAAACGCGGACCATCAGTCTTGGTATGAGCCAACCCAACACTAAATTCCAGTTGATAATTACATTTTTGCTAATTTTGTCTCAGGTTACTGATTCTCGGGAACGACAACGCCCTTCCACAGCACGAAATAATTCTCAACGACCAAATGCCAACGGCTCGAATGCGCCTAGACCAACAAGATTCATATCAGTAGATAATGTCTTACAATATGCCTCTCAAATCCCATCAGGTCAAGCTCGAGGGCCACCAGCCGGACGAAAACCTCAGGCTCTAGATCAACGTCGCGCAAATGGTCCCATATCTGCTCGGATTGCACAACAGAATGTTCCAGGTCGGAGTACAAAAATTAGTGAGAAATTGGTATTGATTCCAGATACGGTGGATGAAAAGGATGATTCAGAAACGGAAGAAATTCTTGGGGCCGGAAACCAACAGCGACTCGATGGTGGTGGAGGACCTCCGACAGATGCTGAAAGGGATATACTAAAAAGAGAGGCGGTATCAGGGGGAAGAGTTATGCGGAACGTTTACCCAAAGCAAGGAGAGCAAACGAATTGGCTAGAGTCACAGCGTATTGCACGGCACAAGCATATAAAACAAAGGCCACGGCTGCATTCGTCAAGGAACGACACGGAGCCAAGACAAAGTTATACGATGACTGTCTCTATACAGTTTACCATTTACCTTTATTACCAGGTACCGAAGGATTCAGAGTACGAAGTAGTCCGGTTTTGAAAAGTCCAGGTGGAAAAGCGGTACTAGATGAAGAGATAGAAAGGAGTGAGAATCGAGATTATCATGAGGGATATTTCGAGGATACGGATACCTACGGTGTAAGGGGAGGAGAAGATAGTCCACGAAATGAAACTGACGAAGAAAGAATCATAAGGGAAGAAGGAGCCCGAAGAGGTAGAGAGGAAACCCATATCTTTGAACAAGGCAAAAGAGCCGACAGTCCAAATCGAGTTGCGCCGGATGCGAAAACTTTTGCAGAAATGTTTGTCTTCTCGTATGGAGTGGTGGTGTTTTGGAATTTTACCGAGCATCAGGAAAAGGATATTCTCGCAGACTTGACATTTGCTGCGCACAACACAGATGTATCACTTGTTGTTCGACCTCAAGAGGAAGAAGATCTCGAAACAGAGGAGCTCCATTTTGAGTACAATTCTTTCGTTGACAGACCACGAATCTTTAATGATATGATAACCTTAAGGAGTGGTGATCATATGATCAAGCTGGCAATGAGTCATGCTATTGCTCAAAGTACGAAACTGAGTTTCTTTGAGGAGCGAATGTCGCAGACTATGCTAAGCGCAGAACATATTCCTAAGCACTTGGCCTTGACGGGCCAACTTGGTATGTCTCGCACGGAGATTCTTAAGATTCTTGGACGTCTCTTCAAAAGTAGGGTAGATGTCAATCTTTGTAAGTCATACATCTTTTCTTCGCTTAAGTTCTTGCTAACATTCTCAAGCATCAAATATCCTCGACGTACCCAGTTTCTTTTGGGATTCCGAACCCACTTTACATCCACTTTACGAAGCCATTCGAGAGTATCTCGAAATCGGTCCTCGTATCACGACACTGAACGAGCGTTGTCGAGTTTTCTTGGACTTAGCGGAAGTTCTCAGTGACAGTATCGCAGATACAAAAATGAGCACAATCACGTGGATTGTCATTATCCTAATCATCATTAGTATAGCAGTAACGGTCACAGAAGTAGGTTTAAGATTTATTATATTGGAAAAAGCGGGTTCAAATGGGGAAATCCTGCAGCGGGAATGGCTCTTATGGATAGAAATTGGTCGAGATTTGATTTTAGTAAGCCTCAGCTGGAAGCTATTTGTGGAGTAGGACACACGATTACGGAGCTTTGAACTGAGGACTCGGGAGATGTTAATATTGAATGCGGGGTAGATACTTTGTTTTTTTGTATACTGGAAGGCTTGGCGCAGGTATTGGGAAGGGTGTTAAGTGTGTATAGAGTAGTTGTATATAACATGCGTGTAATATTGCTTAATGAGAGCCAGCGTTCATGTTAATTTTAATCGGGATGACCAGATTGGAGTTTCGCTAAAAACTTTGCTGTGGGCTTTTGCAATGAGCAGTTATTTCGTAATGTTTTTGGAAGCTCAAGTCTCGCTTACAGATTGATTGGTTGCAAGTTGACAACGTCGTTTTTGTTTGATTAACTAATAATTTGAATGTTTTCCTACTGTTGACGGTCAGCTTTTGTTAGAGGGATGTTTGAAAGGTTAGTTTCGAAGCGTTTGCAGAGGCATTAGTCATGAGTTAGTAAAAATCTTGGTCTTCATAAGGATCTCAATGGTATCTGTAATCAGTTCTTTCTTGCTGAGTGCTCTTTATTCTACGGCGAATTACTTTCGTGTCACTGAAAGTCCAGAAGATTACTCTCATGCCACTCAGATTCTAGTCTACTAAAGCTAGATTCTATAGATTGTATATTTCTAATCCTGGATTCTACCTTTCAACCCTCATTCCTAGCTTTCAAATATATATTCTAGCGCTATTCTCTATTATGATTGCTAGTCTCTTAGTCAAAAGTTTTATTTCATATTTTGGATTCTAATTTTAATATTAAACATTCAGGTTGAAAAATTACAGTCTAATCTAAAAACTATAGAATCTAGCTACTATAAAATCTTAGTAGCGTGCATGAGGGTAAATAAATTCACTTTTAGTGGCATCAGAGTAATTTACCGTTTATTCTATTACTGTATCGTTTTTGAATAATAACATGAGTTAGTAGGTCATATCGTCTAATTAGATACTGGGTGCTCCTCCTGCTAGCTCGTTCATCAATGATTGTGGTCCTCTGTCAATTATCAGAATATTCAGTCCTTGTATGAACAAGGGTTGAATGAATGGGCTTAAGTCATTCATAGCCTACAACAAAGGAGCTAGTCTTACAGCAAGGCCTATTTAAGGCTTGCTTCTTCCTGTAATTAGCTAGCTCATTACATAGAATACACATTGACAACCAGAGCCTACGTTTTAGGTTCCACGCCATTCGTATCGTTCTCGAACGAACAGTCCTCCATATCATTTAAGTGTTGAGGGGCCTTTGAAAAAAAAAGTAGTGATAGGGCTCTCATTCGTGGGTTAGTTGCTGGATTGTGTGTAGCAGACATCCTTCCAAACATCCACAGTCATATCATTTTTCCGGGAACACGTGAAGCTCCTGGAGAATCTGAAAAGCTTACCTTTGGATTGTATCTATTTAGTACCTACAAAAATCACATAAGATCTCGCAGCACATCATATCACAATCAAATATAGCTTCAGTAACAAGATGTAAGAACAGCAGATCAATTAGCCGAACTGAGTTTCTAATATCCCCGGAAATATGCCCGATATCCCCTACTCACACCCACAATCCTGTAGCGAAAAGACTCCATCATGTCCAACAAATGCTCATACCCAGAAGTCCGTTCATAAATCATAATCTCGTAAGTCATGAGTTCATAAACACATGGGCTGCCATATTCATATCCAAACCCTAGCAACGAAAAAAGAGGAAATCGATAAAGTATTGGCGGTCGATCCGAGTGGGTTGCCACAAAGAAACATTATCCTGAATGTAGTTGAATGGTGCCCTTTGACTGTTTGTCTAGATTGCGAAATACTGATTTGCCGAGTCGTTTATATCGAATATGAATCAACAAGAAATGCTCAGATTCTCAACTATGATGGTCTTTACAAACGGGGTCAACATGATCGCCGCCACTTTACCAGACTGTGTCCCCTATCTACCAGTTCTTCGGTTAGCCGCAGTTGCCTTCTGAGTGGCAACCTTGGCCTTACCATCCTCGATCTTTGCCTTTGCGGCAGCCTCCTTTGCCTTCTTCTCGGCATCCTGACGAGCTTTCACATTGTCCTTGTGATCTGGGTGTTTATATCCACATCTGTTAGTACAGGGGTCGGAAGCGCGAAGCATTGTGAAGTCCTTATTGACTGGACTAGCAGCACAATCGGGGCAATAGTATTGGTGGGTGAGGCAGTACTTGAGTCCTGAGTTTGGTGCTTTTCCATCCATGCGACAGTTACCTGTCATAGTCTTCATACCGGGGCAGTGGTGAGTCTTGCCGGAACGTCCAGCAGGCATGATGAATTTTGGATGGTTTTGAAAGTGGAAGATTTTGTGTATGATTGTGTGTTAATCGTGTATTTGAGGACGATGCCTTGGAATGGATGCTAAGTTGGTGGAAGAAGGTGAGTTTTGTTAATGGAGAATTCTGATAGGTAATTGATGACTTCGAGTTTATAATGGAGGGAAGAAGGAGACGCAGCCTCCGGGGACAAGATATACAGACACCAAAGACATCTCGAGTGAATTACCGTACAGCTGATAAGAATCAAAATCACATGTGGTAGTAGTCGTAGCAGTAGCAATCTCAAATTGTTGTATTAAGATTATGGTGATGATGTGATTGATTGATTAGGCGAGAATTGAATTAGGGGAGAGTTCAGATGATATCAACGGCTCATGCCGTATAAGCAAGGATCTAGCGCGGAAAGTACAAGTTACAGCAATTAATATTATAGCCATGATGATTGAGGGGAGATTGAACCACTCTAAAAGGAGCAGCTATGAGGTATTTTTTTCTACCGTACCAAATCATGAACAAGAATGATGCCATTGAGAAATGCATGCCAATATGAGCACCAATGACTAGATTTTTGAGAAGGTGAATTAACGGCTCACGGTACCGTATTGGAAAATGAAATCCGTCATTGGTTAGCAATGATAGTGCGCTAAACAGTGCTACTCAAAGTCTGTCACCAAGTCGACATTCACACATACGGCAAAGTAATTCACTTGATCATTCCAATTTTAACATTGTTTGTACGGTTCTATTCACAGGAGAATCAACAGTAACGACGTAGCTAAAGTGACAAATGGGAACGTTCCCGCAACTTAAAAGCTCTGGCTAGGTCTTCCTGAATTCTTCTAAATCTGTCAATTCTAAGATTGATAAATTCATCTACTTTCACAACTTACCTTGCCAATAGTTCTCCAGGAATTCTCTACAAAACTCAAGATATTTGACCAATTCTCTACGAAGATCAAGACAATAGACCTACTTCTACTCGTAGAGCCACTCTACTTCCAGTTTCTCGCTAGATTTTCTGATTCTATTATAAAACAACACACACTCTCTCTCCAGACTATAACCTGAGTTTATCATGGTTACCAAAGATTCCACAATCCATCATTGCCCCAAGAAGTCGAAAGGTAATTGTCGCCGAGCCTACACCCCTGGCCCAAACTCAAGGCCTTATTGCTCGGCACACATGATTTACTGTAAGGAAGAGGGCTGCAGATTGCCGTATCTTCTAGGCAATCAGCGCTGTGAGCGTTGTGCTGCCACCGCCGAAAAAGAGGAGTTGCTAGCGAAGGAAACTGCCGAAAAGGAAGCAAAAGATAAAGAGAACGCTGGAAGTAGTAAGGACAGCAAAGACAAGGACAAGAAACCTAAGCCAAAGATCGTTAATAAGAAACTCAAGGTATTTCAATTAGTCCTCTCATCCTATACTCTTGGGATCTCCCGAGATATATACGAGTATTTCTTTCCATCCAGTGTCATCCAGTCACTGCGCAATGTGAGCTTTTAGTCCTCTCTTAAATTTCCTGTTTGATAGATAATTACTAACTTGTGACGTTATAGAGATAGAATGTCATATGCGATCAGTGAACTTTCATTATCCTAAACGCGGGTGTATATTGATCTGATACTAAGAGTTTTTCGGGAATCAATATTGACAAGGAGAGGATCTAGATTTACTTTCAAATATCAACGTCAGGATGCTCATTAGTCCGAATATTCGGGTTCTTTCAACCATTGGAATAGCTTTAGTTGTTAAGTCTTTTGGTTAAAAGATATGGTTCCTGTGACGCTAGAGGAGAGAGGGGAGGGGGCTAACCCCAATTAGTAAGAGCTCTGGAACATATCAGAGCTTTTGCTCTCATAGCTAGCTAGTACAATTCAATTCAATCAATCTCTGAATGCCCTGATATTCTAGTCTATGCTTCCAACTGACACTTTTCGCAACAAGAGATGATAAATCAATAACGATATTCTCGGAATCTCGAGAACGGAATTTGTACTGAACTATTGTTTGAATCACTGCAAATACTGAGAATCATTTCGATAATCTAGAAAAACTAAATACATAAAAATAAATCTGCATAAAAAGTTATACACGTTACGCTGATTTGGAATGTGAAAATATTGATCCGACTAATAACTAGCCATTGAAATCATTGATGTGACAAACAAAGTCTGGTTGATTTAAGAGGGGTGAACCGGCCACGATCAGGTAGTGGGCGATAGACTACCCAATAAGCTCTGCGATACATTTTTCATTATGGTCACAATGTAATCGAACGGGTGTAGTACTGTGGGCAAGAAACTTTAAGAATGGCTCAAGGACACTTTCCAGGCCTTCAAGTGAATTTTAAAGACAGGAGAGACCACGAAGAACTTCCTTCATAAGTGCCAATGTACCAGGCATCGTGGAGATGTGTAGAATATCGCGTATATATCAAGCACCTTCATTTCCCCAGACAGAATTTTTCGATGCTAAGACAATCAGGCACTTATAATTCATACTCTCTGCTTTCCGAACATTTTCATCACTCAAAACTAAAATTTCTCCACATTTTCAACTTTGGTTTGAGTCAATGACTGATTATCTTTTATTTGAAATACAGCAGAAAAGAGTCCTTGAGATGGCTCGGGTTAAATGAGAAAGCTTCTTAGCAATCATAGACACTATCAGTAAATGTAAAATAAAGAAATTTAAATTTTCGCTTTCTGAGACACATATGCTTTCATTTTATACTGTGACTGGT